CACCAGTAACCCCTCATCTACTGGTGAGCCCTTTCTTTTGGCCGAAGAGGGCAAGTGGCAAGGAAATGGCCCAGGTTACCACAATAAATGCATTCACCTGCCTTTAATCTCCTGAGACGTTCAGCTGGTGTAAGATGAGCTCTACCCAACTGCATGGGTTCATCCCCTGGTGTAAAGTTTGCGGGAGCATAGGGACTGGGTGGTAATTCAGTAACATCCTTAGCCAGAGACCAGGTAGTGGAACGAGGAAAGGTTGAGGAGTTAGAATGACTGACCCTTTCTCTGCGGCGTTCTCTGAGACGGTTATCTAGAATTATGGAAAGAGATACAAGAGATTCTAGAGAATCACATCGGTCTTTAACAGCCAGTTCATCTTTAATCCGATCATTGAGTCCATTAAGAAACACCTCCTGGAGAGAAATATCATTCCATCCAGACTCTGCAGCAATAATGTGAAACTCCACAGAATACTCAGCCACACTTCGGGAACCCTGGCGAAGAGATAGCAAACGCTTGGCTGCTTCCTTTCCATGAAGTGGAAGTTTAATTCAGCAGTGAAAGAGGAAAAATTATTAAATTGTGCACTCTGACGGTCCCAAACAGCTGTGGCCCATGCTAATGCATTTCCTCGCAAAAGTCCCAAAATATATGATATCTTCGACTGATCAGTAGAATATGTCTGAGGCCGATGGCCAAACACTAAAGAACACTGGAGCAAAAAGGACTTACACTTTCCCAAGTCACCGGAATATGGTTCGGTGTCCGGAATATGAGTTTCACGTAAAGGATAGGCAGTCTGAGAAGGTGGTAATGGTGGGGCTGCAGAAGCAGGCTGATTGGACTGAGCACTAGTAGACCACTGAGCAAGAAGAGAAGAGATTTCATTGAGTTTATTGCTAATTTGAGAAATCTGACCTGCCATGGCTTGATTGCTTTCTGTGAGATTCCGAAGCTGAAGGTCATGCTGTCCCAAAAGTGCACCTTGACTAGAGAGAGATTTATTTGGCAGTCAATGGGAAAGTCACAGGCCTCCCAGTTTTCATCCAAAATATCTTAAATTGTGTTCCGAAGATGAATTAAGCTTTTAGGGGTTTGGAACGACATGTGGGTAAGTGATTAATGACAACATTTTCATTTTGGGGTGGAGTATCCCTTTAACTATCATTGTATTGCATAAAAATTCTTTAAATATTTCTACTTTTGTGTTATACAGAAAAAGCATGCAGGTTTGGAATGCCATGAATGTGAGAAATTACAACACTGAACTTTGCCTTTAATGTTCTTTATGCCGACTAACTTGGTCACCTAGAATTTAGTCACCTAGAAAAAGCAGCAATAACGAAAGGACACACTCTCTCTCTCTTTGTTAATGTCTGTGGGTGCGTGTGTATTTCTGGAGCTCATGATGGCCCAGGGCCGTGTAGCTGATTGCCTGTTTTGTGGGAGAATGGGCTTTTATAAGCTGGAGGGTCTGCACTTACCTCTGATTACCACTAAGCCCTTGTATTCCCAAGAGCTCGTAGATGAGGCACTCTAGTGAGTCAAGGTTAGCCTTGAGTCATATACAGTCACCAGATCTCATCGTCATGTTGCAGAACCATCCGGCTGAGTCCATAAAGAGACTCTTCATTTATCACGAGGAGTGTGAATGTGTTACTTAAAGCACTTTTATTTCTCCACTGATGTTTTTCATGCTTAGGCTGACTTTGAGATCTCTCCACGGATGTTCAGAATTAAACCTGTCCGAATTGCAGTAATTCATGTTCTTGAAAATCAGCAGCTTGTACTTGAAGAGTCCTAAGCTTGTGATTACTCGTAATCATGCAATCTTGTGTTTCATTGTGATCATAAAGCCTAAAACTGGACTGAAAATGTCCCACACTTCACCTGTTTCACCTCTCCATGCCACTCTTCCTCTGTGGGATCCTGATCACGATATGTGTCCTTCTGTTTTTAGTAAGATTTGATATTTATCTTTTTTTGATGCTTCAAATCTTATGCTGTAACTTTTCAAAGTAATCAGAGTTCTGGTTTTATTATTATGTGTTTTTAGTTATGCTTTTTAAAAGTCTCTTTTGCTTACCAAGGCTGTATTTATTTAGTCAAAATTAAAGTAAAACAGTAATATTGTAAAATATTGTTACAATTTAAAATAATTGTTTCTCTTTTAATATATTTTAAAATAGAATGTATTTCCTGTGATGGCAAAGCTGAATTTTCAGCAGCCATTACTCCAGTAACTTCAGTGTCACATGATTTTTCAGAATCATTCTAATACCCTGATTTGCTGCTCAAGAAACATTTCTTATTATTGTCAATGTAGAAAACAGTTTTTGCTGCTTAACATTTTTGTGGAACCAGTGATATAATACCACTTAAAAGTTTGAGGTAAGTAAAGATTTAAAAAAAACAATAATACTTTTATTTAGCAAGGAAAGACTAAATTTATCAAAAGTGACAGTAAATAAATTTATAATTGTAGAAATAGTAATAGCAATATATATATATTGAGATGCATATTATAGCTATAAATATATTGAAATATTCTTCAATTCTAAAATTATATTGATATTTATACAGTATGTTGAAGCAGCAGGATATCCATTTATTTCACTTCGGGTGTAATGAAGAGGTCCATTGTTGGAACATTGGAGATTAAATGAACAACAAGAGATGATATCACTGATCAATCATTTTACCAGGTTTTTATTATTCAGTAAATATCATGTTTTTCCCACAGTTCACTGTTCAGAGAAATCTCACATCTCATTGGACTGCCTCCATATTGTCAGCTCACGCAAGACAGACGATTTTTGCCTGCGGTTACAAGATAAGGAGACACCAATTAACTGGAACCTTATTGGTGATAAAACGGAGCCCTTCTGCAGTATGCATCATGTAGAAAATAATGTCTGTGTTTCTCCTTCGGAGACCATTTGGAATTAGCGGAAAGAATTGAACAGCCTTAGATTAATTTCATTAGCTGTGTGCTTCTGTGATAGAATAATAGGGTGCCAGAAGGAGAAGGACTCTTCAGCATTTCAAAGGTCAAAATATTGGAGCACTTGGATGATTAAAGTGGCAGCGTGAAATCTGGAAAATACTCTGTTGCAAACTAGTTTCTTGTCCTTCTTGAAATCGGATGGCTACTTCACAGACATATCTTTGAGGCTTGTGTTCATACACCAGTTTTATCATTAATACAGATGTCCACATAATAGCATTTCATGTTTTGTTCTCATTTAAATGTAAAAATTCTCTGGAGCTGCAAAACAACAACAAAATGAAAAATGTAGACACTTATAATCTTTGCTAGTGGGCTTCCCTGAAGCATTCACATTTTTCCAATGCAGAACTAAACATGTGCATGGTAGGTGATTGTAGACCTTAGATCTCCTTAAGTGCAAACAACAAATATATAATGCCCTATTTTGACATGGCAGTACCATTATTTCTTTTGTTGAGATCAAGGTAATGCGACGAGTTCTATAGTCCCTTCATTGGCCTTTTGCAGGTCTGTGGAAGGAACTTGTCAGAGCAACATTGAAAAAAATCATACATAGGCCCCTCCCTACCAGTGATGACATCATGAATGAGCTATATATTGAGTGTTAATTGTATGGTGGAGATTTAGTCTTCTCTTTCTTTTTATTTCTTATATTTTAAGATTTCTAGCATATAACAAAACATCACAATGTGTCTTTATACCTCCCAGTGTAGCTTAATATCTCATAATGTGGCATAATGTCTCACAGTAGGACTTTATATCTCAAAGTGTGGCTTAATATCTCATAATGTGGCATCATCTCTCACAGTTGGACTTTATATCTCAAAGTGGCTTAATATCTCATAATGTCACTTACTATCTCACAGTGGGACTTTATTTCATAAAATGGCTTTTTATCTCACAATGTGACTATATCTCAATATTTACATGTATATATCACAATTTAAATGTATATTTTTGTGGATTCATATCTCTTAATATGTCTTTGTCTGGTAATGTGACTATATCTCACAGAGTGACTTAAGTAATATACATCCCAATGTACATCCAGCCAGTTGTTAATCGCAGAATAAAGTATTCCACAGAGCCATATAATAATATCTCAAAATGTGGCTTCATATCTCACAGTTTGAATTTATATCTCATAATGAGGCTTAATATCTCATAATGGAACTTTTTATCTCACCGTGTGACTATATCTCACAATATGAATTTTTTTTTTTTTTTTACTTAATCTTAACATTTAACCTTGACTTAATCAGTAAGTCTTGATTCCTGTCCACTGTGCACGTTGATCAGTGCGTTGTTTCCGGTGGTTGTAATTCCAGGGTAGTCCTCCTTTGTATGACATGAAAATCTGTGTAAACAAACATAATATTTGCCGCTTTGATGTGGCTTCTATGTGGACTAAAACCTCTCCATGGAAAATTTAACCTTAATATAATTATTGGCTCATAACGCCGTGAGGGGTGTCCCATACACCACTGGGTGAGGAAAGAGCACTCAACATCCTGTAGCGATCATTGCGCTTAATATCACTTAGTGTGTTACGGCACAAATTTGTCTCAAGTTTCACCGACACAAACACATAAACTCAAGAATAATTTTGTTTCTCCCACTGGTCAAGTTCTTTTTCTGTGCTGTTGAGTGTTGCCAAGTCAATTTAAATTACACATCCCCTGCTGTTCTTCTAATGTCAGCGTTTTCTCACTTTCTCATATTTTCTTCCCTTTGTTCAAGTAGCGTGAGTCATATATCCACACTGCAGTCAGGATAACACCCTCTCCATAGAAATCCAGTGATGCTTAAACCGACACATCTGACACTCTTGAATTGTTGCAGCTCCTGCATTATTATACTCTAGATTAAGAATAAATTGTAGCACAATAGTCATACTGACTGTGAAAAATGTCATCCTGACTATCATAATTATTTCAGCGCTAATCACCATATTCTCATATGCTCTCTCTGTCAATCTTTTGTCTTTGTGTAGGTAAGTATGCCATGCGTGACCTCGTGCACCGGCTCCCGGGTGGGAGCAATGCTAGTGGAAGCAGCGGGGGTACAGCAAACAGCACAGCGGGTAAAACCATGTGCGATGACACCGTTACGGCTGTATGTTGCGCCCTACACGAGGTCATCACCAAGAACATGGAGAACGCCAAGGCCTTACGAGACGCCGGTGGCATTGAGAAGCTCATCGGTATTGCTAGGAGTAAAGGAGACAAGTAAGTTGTCTTTTTTATAATAAGCTTCACTAACTACTAAAATGGCCTGCAGTGTGCGCTAACCACTAGGCCGTGGTTTTGTTTTTGCTCGTGTTTTCATGGACCCTGAGTTATTTTGTTCACCAGAATCTGTGCATTGCTCTTGAAAATATTTTATTTTCCAGCTACACGGTTCTACTTTTATTCCAGCACCTTTTAAAAGAGGTGCACAGTATGAGTCAGACCTCAATAAGCATTTTACGAGCTTCAAGGCCACATGTTCGGCTACATCATATATACATCCGCTTATTCAGTGCCTGCTGAACTGTAATGAAGAAAACTTGGAGGAAGAACACGTCCACTTTTGCCATAGCTGACAAAAAGAGCTGATGTTTGATTTGATGCATCCTTGAGAATAAAGCTAAATATCACAAGTCTGTATGTAACAATATCACAAGTCTGTATGGAACAGTTTAGTGTTATCTGCCATGACAATACAGAAAAAAACTCCCTTAACTTAAGTAAAAACCAATGTAACACAGCCTTGACACTGGCTTATTGGTTTTTTGAATCACGAGAAGATATACAGAGTGGTCAAGATGAGATTGAAAACGCTGTGATTTAAACCTGAAAGTGAACCAAATTTTATTTGTATTTAATTTTTTATTGTTTTGTTTTGTTTTATTATTTTTGTTTTATTACTTTACTTTATTATTTTATTTTATTTTGAGAATAATAAGTGTGCACAAACACACAAGGAATTGTATTGTCTGCATAGAGGTTCTGGAAACCACAACAAATTCCTTGAGTTTGTGTTTGTGTATTAGCCAAATACAGCTAAATTCTCATTCTGATATAAAATAAAAATGTAATAATTTTGTTTTGTTTTATTTAGTTGTTTGATAACCTCTTAGCAGGATTATAACATAATTAAAAAATGCATAAAAATGGGTAATACTTTAGTATAGGGACCAATTCTCACTATTAACTAGTTGCTTATTAGCATGCCTATTATTAACATATTGGCTGTTTATTAGTATTTATAAAGCAGATATTCTGCATGACATATTCTACGTCCCTAATCTTACCCAATACCTAAACTTAACAACTACCTTACTATTAATAAGCAGCAAATTAGGAGTTTTTTGAAGCAAAAATCATAGTTAAGGCTTTGTTAATAGAGAGAATTGGACCTTAAAATAAAGTATGACCAAAAAATTTAATATTATTTTAGATATTATTTATTTGTTTTTCATTTTTTATTGTGCCCCCTATGTATAGATTTAGCGTATTAATATTGATGTATTCAGTTGCAATACATGGCATGTTATTACATGCAACAGGTGTTTCAAATGTGCATCGTCCAATTATATTTTATAATAATCATTCATTGATCAAGCCTTTCTATATGCTGCTTGCTTTAGCCTCTTAGAAACACCAAGTAGGCAGTCTGACAGTGAGTGAGTGATGACACTGTCAAAGACATTAGTCCGACCCTCATCAAACTGACACTTCATGCGACTGCTTTATATCCCCATCAGCTATTCATACACTGTGCCCACCCCATTGGAGCCAATATGGCGATGACAGCTGCTTCCAGTTTCCTGCTGAGAGGTTATAAAAGGGACAAGCCACTCGGGTGCTTGTTTGTCTGGATATAGCACAAATGCAACAGGTTGATGTAGTACCGCCACGTAGCAGCAACCAGTGTGATTGTTCTGATATGCGTCAGATTTGATGACTTTTATGATTTGAAGGGGATTGATTTGGTGCAGATTTTGATACGTGCTCAACACATCATGCATGGCAAAATAATGAACTCGCTGCTCTTGGCTGAATAACTTGTTTTCTTTTTTTTATAATAAGCTTTTTAAAGGGGTCATATGATGCTGCTAAAAAGAACATTATTTGGTGTATTTGGTGTAATGAAATGTGTTTATGCGGTTTAAGGTTCAAAAAACACATTATTTTCCACATACTGTACATTATTGTTTCTCCTCTATGCCCCGCCTTTCTGAAACGCGTCGATTTTTACAAAGCTCATCGGTCTGAAAAAGCGAGGTGTGCTCTGATTGGCCAGCTATCCAGTGCGTTGTGATTGGCTGAATTCCTCAAGCATGTGACGGAAATGTTACGTCCCTTACCATATTGTGATGCCTGCGGCAACCACATGTGACGACCCCGGGCTGGACTCCGCTTCGTCCATGGTGAAAGCCGATCTGGCGATCCACAGCGCGAAGTTGAAGTATTTCCTCAGCGACCAGCACGGATCAGCTCCAGGCATGACGAAGCAGATATCGTCCTCTTTTGGAAGGCCAAACAAAGTAGTTTCACTTTCACAACGAAGCACACAGCACCTTCACGACATGGCGGCGGCGGCAACAACAATACTACAGCGAGAATAAAAGTTACGCCTTCTTTCTTTGCTTAAACATTTGGGCGGCGTTATGCAAATCTTCCCACATAGTGAGGTAGATATCTGGGGGCGTGTTAGAACGAGCCGTTTTATGTAGGTGTGGTTGACTCTTAACTTTTATAAAGAATATCTTTGAGACTTTAGTCTTTGCAACTTTACAGATCTTCTTTATGCACCAAGAGCTTGTAACACTCCAAAGACTAAGGAAAAATTGAAATCGCATCATATGACCCCTTTAAAAAGAAACAAATATAGAAACTGCTTTTATATATGCATTAAAAATCTACTGTGATTTTAAAATTCTGTCCTGACATACTACTCATTTTGCAAACAACTTTTCACTTACTTTATAGTTTCCATTTGTGAAATCTGATGCAAACTTCCCAGCAAATCTGACAGACTTTACATCACCAAAGTGAGAGGTTTAATTTGAGATGAGCCCGAGTCAACTGAAGATCTGAGCGTGTTGAAATCCATGTTGAAAGATGAGGGGAAGGATAAATCAAACACACAGCTCCACCTCTAAGAATCCATTTAGTCATTTATGAGAGGAAATGATGAAGGAAGAGCGGCATTCATTTCCTCTGTTAAAGCCATGTTCAAAGATTTTCCTCTAACTTCATTTCAAGTGGCAATTGTAAATTGTTCCATTGTGTCCTTTGAGCAGAAATGGATTGACTCGGCTCGGCGGAAGACAAAAGGCACAGCTGTTCTATCAAATCAGCTGAAGTCAAACAATTTGTATCATTTTTGAGAACCATGGGATTGTTTCTTTTGTTTGTGGTGCATTGTTAATCATAACAAAAGCTGCTGTCCGTGTGAGATGTTTGCACAGAAAGCAGAGAAAACATCAAATGCTTCCGTAGGAACAATCATCTGAGCAACAATGTACCAGAATTGGAATTTTATTTTCCTCTGTTATGTTTGGTATTGGCATTTTGATCTTAGAGTTCGAATATTTTGTAAACTTTTTACAATTAAAATGTGTTATTTTAGAGTTGTCACTGTTATACTGATGTGCTGCATATAAATATACTGGAGAATTGGGTTTAACTTCTTGTGTGTGTTCGGTTCAACACGCAATGTATCCCAAAAAAAAATTTCTGTGATGTCATCCATCAAAACATCAAAAGTACACTACTATTCAGAAGTTTTGGGCTGGTAAGACTTTTACTTCTCATATACGTATTGTGTATCATACTTCTCATGAGTGTATTTTTTTTAATCGTTTTATTTTAAACTGCTTTACTGTATTTTTGATAAAAAATACAGTAAAGCAGTTTAAAACAAAACGATTTAAAATCACTTTTTCTATTTGAATATATTTTAAAATGTAATTTATTGCTGATGGCAAAGCTGAATTTTCAGCAACATTACTCCAGTCTTCCGTGTCACATGATCCTTCAGAAATCATTCTAATATGCTGATTTGCTGCTCAAGAAACATTTATTTTTATCACTGTTGAAAACAATTGTGCTGCTTAATATTTTTGTAAAAACTGTGATGCAGTTTTTTACAGGATTTTGTTGATGAATATAAGTAAATAAAAGTATAATAAACTTCTGGAAAAAAATCTTACTGACCTCAAACTTTTGAATGGTAGTGTAATTTTAGTTAAAGTTTTTTTTTTTTAATACATTTAAATTTTTTATTACTGTCATCATTTGTATGTTGTTTAATAATATTCCTTTAAATAAATAAATAACATATTAAGAAAATAAATAATAATATACATATTTAATATACAACAATTTCTTATAATTGTTTAATAAAATAATTTACTTATTTTAAAACAAATCTTCCAGTAATATGCTTTTAAAATGTTGTCAGATTTTAACTGATAATAATAATTGACTGTTGAGACGTATGTCCATTTATTACTGTTGACTCTACTGTTTGTTTTCTTCTCTCTCTCTTACAGACACTCACCTAAAGTGGTAAAGGCAGCATCTCAGGTTCTCAGTAGCATGTGGCAGTACAGAGATCTCCGGAGCCTTTATAAGAAGGTAGGAGACCTGCTTCCACTCACGACAGCTGTGTCCCACTTCATCCGTCCCAACATGAGGAATTTATTTAGCATGCTAACTGATCTCCCACTCCCACACGATTGTGTTTGAACTTGTAGAGAAAATAGTTTAGAATGAAACAAACTGGAGAAGTGTTTTTGTATCCCTCCTCTCCGACAGAGATGTGCGACCCACTATTTATTCAACACGACACCTTGTAGCCGACTGAAAACATGAATCCGTAGTGACTAGCAATGAATGCTCTATTGAGCAGTAGCGGCCAGGCTGAAGAGATATTTCCATTCAATAAGTGCTCGTTGCACTTACTATTGTGTGTATCCATTCAGATGTCTCCTTTGCAGATTATTGAGGCAAACTTTGGCCTTGGCGAGCGCCGACGGCATTCAGAACGTATTGTGTGGTCTGAACAGCATGGTGAATAGACTGATGTGAGGAGACCTTGTATGAATGTTGCCATATTTCAGCAATTAAAAGCAGATTTATTTTCATTTCCAAACCAAACTTTTTTAAGCTAGCGTTTGGGGTCTTTGAATAGACAATGTGCTCATGAAATTAAATTTAATTAAGGGCAATAGGAATTAACCTATTTACATGTAGCCAGACCTCTCGTGCTGCATTCAAACACAGATAAGGAGCAGCCAAAGTAGTGTTAAACATTAACAAGGTCACACCAAGCCAAAATGTTCCCAAATGAACTACTAATAAGAGCATGAGAAGAGAAATTTTGGGTTGTGACAGACCACCGTCCCCCACAAGCGCTAGAAGCCTCTAGGCTGCGAGAACACACCGTTCCCCTTCGCTGAGCAATCTCCGTCCTGACAGATACGATGCTGAGTGGTGAGGAACGTCCCGGACCGAGCTCTATAATGTGTTGTTTTGCCCACTTGGCGCTGCGGAGAAGGCGTTGTAGAATTACAGCCCACGGAGATGGCGACGGATGCCACGCTGACCTTTAGAGATGAGAAAAGGCCAAGAGCTGACTGCCTGCACCGCCGAGATGAGTTTAGAAGTGTGTCTGAGGAAATAGAGGTGCCCCTCCCCGAACTGCATCGGAGAGCGAATTCACAATGGCTGTTTGAAAATATCTGTAATGATATGTAATTATGGATGTTTGCGAGTTTACCCCGCTGAACTTGTCGCCGTCAAAACCAATGTCGAATTACGAGCTCTAATTTCATGTGCACATACTATTAATTACCCTCTCTGTCTTTTTTCAATATTTAGAGGGTTCGACGAAAAGGTACCATGTGTAAATTATAATGAAAGAGAGTAATTAGATGGAACGCCGATTCCCATTATGCTAGCTGACTAAATATCTATAAATAATATCGAAGCGCTCACAGGTTCACAGTGGCGTTGTGTTCGCATGCCGTCTTGAGGCAGGTTATCGAACAGCTGCTTTAGCTGACGTAGATAAAGTGACAAGGTCAAGGACGTGGAGGACATCCGGAGCTATAAATGCATCATTAGAGAGGTTGTTAAATCTACACTAATGCTTATTATAAACAGTTCTCTGATTGATTTTCGAGGGATAGAGCTCTGTGGATCCCTCTCACACTTGTTCCAGCCCCCTCCAGGCTGGGTTTGCAAAGATTTTTAAAACCTCCCACAACCTAACCTGTTTCCTCCAGCCCAGCTGAGCTCTGGAAATGTCACCGGGGATGGTATTAAGCAAAGGGCAGCAAGAAAGAGATTGCTATTATTAACATTTGCAGAGCCCCGTCTCTCATCTCATGAGTGCATAATGACAGTTGTTCCACGTGGATGTGTCTTTCTCTCCCTCCGTTGAAATGAAAGGTGTCAATTGGATGAGTCGGGCCACCTGAGGCGCGATTCTTTGTGTTTTGGGTGGTGTGATGGATGAAACTGAGGGAGAAGAGGGAACACAAGAGGGGAGGAAAATGAAAACAAGAGGTTTGGGAAGCCAGACACCTCCCAAGGCTGTGAACAATGGCCTCATGCCCAGGAAGCATCTGTGATCTTTTGGTTTTGATGCTTCTAGCCAGTATTGGAGGAAGTTGTGTGTTATGGAGTGTAACAGTGTTAAATAATATACTTAGTTCTGTGTTTCCTGTATGCGTTATTTTCCTTTGGCTTCTTGTTTTATAATTTCTTTAGGAATTAATACATGTAAATTATAAATTTTGTACAATTCTTTAAAAAAATTTTTTTATATATATATATATATATATATTGATATCACTATTGATTATTTTCTTTCTCTAATTTTGTTGTAAATTTTATGTAAAATATAAAAAATAAAACGCTCACTGATGCTCCAGAAGGAAAAACCATGCATAAAGAGCCAGGGGGTGAAAAAGTTTTGAAGTTGAAGATCAGGGTAAATTTTACTTTTGTCTTCTGGGCAACATTTAACTATCTTCTGTAGCCTCTGAAGGGCAGTACTAAATGAAAAATATGATATTTAGGCAAAATAAGAAAAATGAACACAAAAGTTTTAATGCAGCTCCTACTGGAGCATCAGTGAGCGTTTGAACCTTCTGTAATAGTTGCATATGAGTCCCTCAGTTGTCCTCAGTGTGAAAAGATGGATCTCAAAATCATGCAGTCATTGTTGGAAAGGGTTCAAATGCACGAAAATGCTGGAAAACCTAAGAATTTGTGGGACCTAAAGTATTTTTCTGAAGAACAGCAGAACAAACAAGGGACTCATGAACAACTATCACTAAACAAAAAAAACACAGCTGTGGATCATTCAGGTAAGAATACAGTATTAAGAATCATTTCTTTTGAAAGGGGTCATTTTTATAAATTCAACTATTATTTTCTTTGTGGACTACATGTAAACATCTTTTATGTGAAATATCTTGTTTAGGTAAGTACAAAATAAGCAATAACATGCATTTTGTATGATCCCTCTTATTCTGGTCAAATAATTAACATTTTGCAGATTCTGAAAGGGGGAGGTAAACTTTTGACCTCAACTGCATATATATTTATATTAAAATATATTATATTTATATATTGGGTAACACTTTATTTCGATAATCCACTTTAGACATTCTATTAACAGTAAGTAACTTTGCAACTACATGTCAACTAGCAGTTAGTAGAGTATTAGTAGACTGTCTGCTTAATATCTTCTAACACTTTCTTTGTCAACTTATTCTACTAACCTTAAACCTACCCTGTCTACTCTGAGAGTTAGTAGACATGTAGTTGCAAATAAATTAGAATTAGTTGAGATGTAGTTGACATGTAGTTACAAAGTTACTTATAGTTAATAGAATGTCTAAAGTGGACTATCGAAATAAAGTGTAACCATATATTGTTTAGAATACATTTGTTAAACATTCTCTTTGTGTTCTGGCCATTTGGGGTAGACCAAAGCCTGAATGATTTTTATATTTCACAGATTCATTGTTTGAGTTTGTGCATTGCATTTATGCTCTAGGGAGGTTCAGATGTACTGTAAACAGATTTTGAAAAACTGCTTTTTGAAAAGTTTTTGGCCTGTAATGCATAAATATTTATAATTTTGCATAATAAAATGCATCTAATTCATATAAAGTTACAGCAGTTGATCTACATAGACAGAAATCTTTGAAGAAGTGCAGACGGCTTCCAGCTCCATCTACTAATAAGGTGTGTGTGTTTGTGAGAAAGCCCAGAAGCGCTTGGCTTGATTTACTCAGTATGACGTAGAGCCGGACTAAGATGAATTGAAGTTCTAGCCTGAGAGAAGTTGCTTATGCCATTGATCTTGAGCCTGAAGCCTCACTCATGTTCTGCTGAGAGGTGTTGCATTCAGCTGGCAGCCTCCTGAGATGCAATTCCACAGTCATCCCTCCCCAACGCTCTCTACGAGGAAGTACCAGGGTAGTCAATTGCCTCAGCGACCCCAGGGAGCCAACGCAGCAAGAGCAACGCTCCTGGCTCCATCCGCCTCTGGGAGTATAATAATGAGTGCTTGCCATTGGCTTGCTTCAGTGCACAATTCCACACCAGAAGTATTTTTTCTGTCTGACTCTTAAGCAGCATTATTGAGGAATCACGGGTAGGCAGGTTGCCATAAATGACTCATCTTTGCATGGTCTGCTTGGTCTTTTCAGTCTTGTTCTGAGTCAGAATCAGTCCTGTAATGGTGCTTCATGCGTTCAACTGGAATTAACCGAATAAATTGAAGTTTTTGAGTTTAAAAGACGAACGTGCATTTACCGTTCACCCTTTTTACACCTCAGGAACAGTTACCTTAGCTCAAAAGTCCATCAATTCAAGCACATTATTCTCTCAGACCTGATAAAGAAGAAAGAAAGGAGTTATGGGATGTAATGAACGCAAAAAGATTCTTTAATCACATTGAAACTCAGTCTTCCCTGCAAGTATTGTTTTCAAATGGCAGGAACATCTTCAAAAGAAGTATCCATCCTTACTATCTTTTATTGCACAGCCAGCCCAAATGCCCATCATCATAAAGAATAAAGGTAAAAGTTTTCATTTCTTCCTCATGTGGGAACTTCAAAGTTCAAGTAACACTTACAACAGCATAAGTAAAAGGAAATGACAAACTCCCTTACTGAAGATGTCTTTAGTCGACAGGCGACAAGTACCGCTTTCTCCTCGTTCCGTGCCTCTCTTCACACCCCTTGGAGCCTTCAAATACCTGTGCAATGTCATTATTTGCAACAGGCACATTAGGTGGAGAGCGGTGGTTTCTCCTGCCAGAGTTTCTGCCTTGTTGAGAAAGTAGGGCAGCTTTGAACTGCACAGAGTCGGAGGGACCGACCGTTTGATCTATTCCTCACCTTTCTAACAAAAGCAATGTCACGGAGGGGCAAATGGGATGTCAAGGGTAGTGCTCTGTGTACCTGTTAGAGAGCTTGTTCAGTAGACTGCAAGTTTTCGGACGTTCTCCTTGTTTCTTTATTGTGTATTTGTAGCCTGTTAGCACAGATCTAGCTAGCAGAAATTGAGCTTCTTCATTGACCCATTCTGAGACCTCGTAAGATGTTTGAGCTTGTACTCTGTTCTGCATTAACGGCCACATGAATCGACTGTATGAATTATTTAATCTTTATTCAGTGAGAGTGAACTTATGTATGATCTGATACATGCTCTTCATATCTTATACAAGCAACATAATCCACTCAAACATTTGAAAGAGTTCATATTTAAATAGAATCAGACCATCCAGGAGGATATCAAACATGTTTGATGTTTTGAGGAAATTTTAGAGCATGTATTGTATTAATTTGTCGCCCGTCACCAAGTCTTGTTTGTGATCTTCAGTCATCTGCTTAGATATTAAAAGTTGTGTAGTGTATTACAGCCTTAAGTTGTTCTTTTTAGTAATGTAATACTTGACTGTATGCGCTCGGCAGACCCATTGATTGACACTCACAGTGACGTGTCATAGAGCCAGTGGCCAATGGCTTCAGTTTATCTCCTCCATCAGCCTTTCAGGTTTCTTCAGTCACACATCAAAGAAGCTTTCTCCACAGCCACTGACTCCAGATCATTCGTCCATTGATTTCTGTACCTCCATCCACCCATTGATTTTTGTAATGACTCCACACTGGGAGGCCCTAAACTAAACTGACATGGGCTAATGTAGCGTACATAGATACTGGATGTTGTGTTGTTCGCCCCTTGTCTAGTAGATAAAATAAATTAATATATGCATTATTGTCTCTTTCTTTATTTTTCTAGGATGGCTACTCGCAGTATCACTTTGTTGGCTCTGCCTCAACAATAGAGAGAGACAGACAGAGACCGTACTCATCCTCACGCACTCCGTCAGTATCTCCGGTCCGGACGTCCCCTAATAACCGATCAGGTGAGTATACGTGTTTATCTTTCTCAACAGTGTTAACTTACACATTTTGATCTGAAGTGCTGAAATAGAGAGTCGCTGTCCATGGTCCTGAAGTCCAAGATCTTCAACCTGGATTTAAACCAATTACAAACAGCAGGTTGATTCGCTGATATTAAACTGATGGGGATTTCTCAGTGCGTCCTGGGACTCAGGGTTAATGATCCACACTACTGTTGGGGTTAGTGGATTCATGGCTGGCTGGTTGTGCCTCTAATACCTTTTCCGGTGGACTTAGCATCTCGCTGAAGCAGAAAAGTACTTTTCACAGATTCAGAATTTGAGAGGACCGTTGGTGGTGGAGGCTGAGCAGCAGAAGTGGGAATTTTAGAGCTAATGGGTCTTTAAATGACTGGAATGACTTTAAATGACTAGAGTGATGAAATGAAGTTCTTTCTTCCTTAATGCAAAATTTAAGGTGTTATATTAAATTTATTATTCGGAGGCCACTTCTAGTCTTATCTATGATGAATATATAGCCAATGTTATCTTGCAGTTTTAATTTTTTTCCCATGATGTAATATAATATTAGTGGTCGACCGATATTGTTTTTTATCCGATTAGAAAGCAGGGTTGCGATGATCGATATAAAGCCTATATATATATATATATATGTATATATATATGTAATATAATAGTGATATTTATGTAATATATCATTTTTATTTAATTAATATTTAGGAAATCTGAAATCATTTGAAAATTAGATTAAAAAAATGAATGTGTAAAATAAACACTTTAGGTGACAACTTCTTGATTCTGTAATTCTATTACAGTATTTTTCACAAATAAATAAATATTTCAAAATACGTAAATAGAAAGAACGTAAACACTGTAACCAGCAGGGCACTCAGTAATTTGGGAAGTTTGTGTGCATTAGGAATCATATTTTTTAAACTAAAGCAATATAATATAATAATATAATTTCATATTTTACCCATATTTTATTTTTCTATTTTATTTATTTTTTCTGTATTTTATAAAAAAATAAATATATATTTTTCCCCAAAAAACAGAACCAGTCAGTAACAATATTGATTGTGACAAACCTTAACTACACAAAATCGAGTTTGGTTTAATTTTAACATGACTGAAAATAATTAGTTAATTCATGGATTCAGTAAAGGATTCATTAGGCCAATTTGGGGTGATTCATTAAAAGATTTAGGTCACAAGTGTCATTTCGTTCATTAATCGGATTAAACTAAAAACATTGTTTTTATACACAGACAGGAAGGTGCATTATCTTTGCATTCAATTCAGGCTGCAAGCTCACGTCTCATGTAAAATGCTATTTATTTTGCCGTGACACTAGATTCAGTTGACTAGCAGTGTGGGAAATATGGCGCAGAGCAGTGCTCACGTGATTCAACATGCTCTCTGCAGCTTTTTAGAATAAATTGATTTATTGTCTGCTTGTTTTTCTCAGTTGAATCTCTGATGTCTCCAGTCATCCTCTGGCTTGCAGCTGGTTTCATGCTGTTCTGTTGTCTGCAGGCTTTTCCTCTATGGTCTGAGCTCCAGTGTGTGTCATGAAAACGGTGAATGCTAGATTTTTGCCAGAGATCAAAGCACTCATAGTTAGACGGAGAGAAGGAAGGTAGGGGAAAGAGAGACAGTGGTGTGTCTAAGGTCTTGTAGGCGTACTGGAGAGTAGCTGCGCTCTTTGGCTCAGAGCATCAGAATGTGACAGCAGAGTCTCGCCTGTGCTACTCAATTAACATTTCCTAAGATACATGTGAGCTCAAAGCCAAAATAATATAGCAAAATTGGCAATACTATGTAATTCATTCACTTCACAACTCTGCAATTATTTCTAATACCACGGCCTTGCCATTTAGTTACAGCATTAGAGACGTGTATTCACTGTGCGGAAAGATATTTATTTGTGTACTCATTATTGGCAAGTTCTGGCAACTTCTCTGAAACTGCTTTTTAAAAAAAGAACAAACAAGCATAGCACAAGAGTTTAATGCATTTTTTATTACAAATTGAAGTAGCAAAAAGTGGTGCAACATGGCAGTATCAAATTTAAGGTAAGAAATGTATTTATTTATTTAGTATTTCAATTTTCAAAAATGTAAGAATTCTATATATTTTTTTTTTTTTCAATTATTTAAACTTGTTTATATATGATAATATGCCATTGCTAAGAGCTACTCAACTTTGAAAAAGCTCAGGGGCCACAAAACAGGATTTTATTAGATTAATAATAGAATAATTTATTTTATTATAGACACAATCATATCATGATTTGATATATTTTTACTATAAATCAACTTTAAGTTTTTATTTTATTTAGCTTTTTCATTTTTAATGATTCGCTAAAGTAAATATTTAACAAATGAAAGGTACCTATTTTCTTGCTTTATTACTTTCTTTTTTCATTGGAACTTGATGGACTCATACCAACATGTAAGATTACGGCAGTATCAAATTTAAGGTAAGAAATGTATTTATTTATTTAGTATTTCAATTTTCAAAAATGTAAGAATTCTATATATTTTTTTTTTTTCAATTATTTAAACTTGTTTATATATGATAATATGCCATTGCTAAGAGCTACTCAACTTTGAAAAAGCTCAGGGGCCACAAAACAGGATTTTATTAGATTAATAATAGAATAATTTATTTTATTATAGACACAATCATATCATGATTTGATATATTTTTACTATAAATCAACTTTAAGTTTTTATTTTATTTAGCTTTTTCATTTTTAATGATTCGCTAAAGTAAATATTTAACAAATGAAAGGTACCTATTTTCTTGCTTTATTACTTTCTTTTTTCATTGGAACTTGATGGACTCATACCAACATGTAAGATTATTCATAACAAATGCATAAATCTGGCTGAAGTGCAAAAACAGCTTCACTTATAATGTAACACTTGTGTAAAAAATAAAATCAAAACCATAATAGATTATGATTGGATGAGCCACAATTGGCACCATTTTAAAATTAGCGCTCAGTTTTGTAATGTTACCTGGCAACCGTAAATGTATAGTTAGAGCAGACACCAGCAGAGCGTCGTGACGCATCAAAAGTGAATCACTCCCATTATAATCTACTGTTACACTGGAAGTGCTCATCTTTGAATTTACATCATGAAAGCATTCATCACACAGTTTGCAGAGAAGATTATGGTTTTGTGCTTGGTGCATGTGTGAATATATTTATGTAGAATTATAAAGTAGATAAATTCAACAAAAAAAGCCATGCAAAATGCCTTAGTGTAAATCTTTGGTAACACTTTACTTGAAGGGGTGTGCATAAGACTGACATGACACCTTCATAATCATGACATGCGTATAGTTAGAGCAGACACCAGCAGAGCGTTGTGACGCATCAAAAGTGAATCACTCCCATTATAATCTACTGATACACTGGAAGTGCTCATCTTTGAATTTACATCATGAAAGCATTCATCACACAGATTGCAGAGAAGATTATGGTTTTGTGCTTGGTGCATGTGTGAATATATTTATGTAGAATTATAAAGTAGATAAATTCAACTAAAAAAGCCATGCAAAATGCCTTAGTGTAAATCTTTGGTAACACTTTACTTGAAGGGGTGTGCATAAGACTGACATGACACCTTCATAATCATGACATGGCACGTCATGAATATGAAGGAGGTTTTATGCATGTTTATGACAACTGTCATTAAGTGTCATTCACTCAGTTATGTCATTTTTAATGCAAATATGACATTATTTGACCTAACCCTACCCTTACCCCTAACCATAGCCCATAACAAAGACATCTCAAACAATGTCATCTTTACATTAAAAATTACATAACTGAGCGAATGACACTTAATGACAGTTGTCATAAACATGCATAAAAAACCCTTCATATTCATGACATGTCATGTCGTGATTATGTAGGTGTCATGTCATGATTATGAAGGTGTCATGTCAGTCTTATGCACACCCCTTCAAGTAAAGTGTAACCAAATCTTTTCATTTAAAAATGACAAAGCATCGCTGATCGTTTTCCTCATTTATATTAATATCAGCAGACCTCACATTAAAATTACACAGAGATCAATGTTTCTAAGGCAGTTGCTCATTTAAGTTGAAGCTTTGTCTGGTCAGTACATCCACATTAAGGATTTTGGCATGAACTTCAATGCAGGGTTGACACGTTTTTGCTCACTTTTATAATTTAATCATGAAGCACGGAGGTAATGCTTCTAATGCCATCAGACAAGGCCTTCAGATATACTTTTATGGGATGCCAGACTCTAACAACACAACAGCCATGATATGGAGTTGCCAGCTATTATTGTATTACTGAGACACATTGAGGCCATGGGACTCAGAGCTCTTTGTTCATTTTAATAAAGTGCAATTGAGTTCATTACTGGTGTTTAAAGGAATAGTTCACTCAAAAATGACAATTTACTCACCCTTTGGCCATGCAAACAATGTAGTTGAGTTTGTTTCTTTATCGGGACAGATTTGAAGAAATTTAGCATTACATCACTTGCTCACTAATGGATCCTCTGCAATGAATGGGTGCCGTCAGAATGAGAGTCCAAACAACTGATAAAAAACATCACAGAAATCTACAAGTAATCCACATGACTCCAAGTCCATCAGTTAACATCTTGTGAAGCAAAACTCTTGTTTTGTTTTGTTTTAGGAATTTTAACTTTATATCATCACTTCTGGTAAAAATGCCACAAACAACTGATAAAAACATCACAGAAATCTACAAGTAATCCACATGACTCCAAGTCCATCAGTTAACATCTTGTGAAGCAAAACTCTTGTTTTGTTTTGTTTTAGGAATTTTAACTTTATATCATCACTTCTGGTAAAAATGCCAGTCCATAAACCCTTATAACGTTTTTTACAGTGAAAAAGTTCATCCCCTCTTGTCCTCTCACATCAAAGTCCACAGACATATTTGATTAGAACTGTTTGGGACTGCTTTTGCATGATCTGTGCATAAT